TCTTCTAGAATGGCTTCCAGACATACTCTATGCTAATTCGCTCTTTCATCTTCTCCTAGAGACTAGCTATAGAATGAAATTAGCCATGGCAATTTACCAGGCAAAATATATATATAAAGCTTGATCCCATCACAAAGACCCAATTATGATTTATTTTACAACTAAACACCTTTAAGATCAAAATGTAGCTACTTTACTCTAGAAGAGTATCGACAGAAACTGTGAAACGTCAGTATATCCACATAGACAACTAAAAGCAGTATCTGCTTTTTGTTAAGATAGTTTAGTTACTGCTTGTTTGTTAAGATAGTTTAGTTTCATGCTAACATGGTACACACTCAAAATCTCTAACGCTTGATCTCATTAAGATGGTTGCATCAGCTTTTTGTTAAGATAGTTTAGTTACTGCTTGTTTGTTAAGATAGTTTAGTTTCATGCTAACATGGTACACACTCGAAATCTCTAACGCTTGATCTCATTAAGATGGTTGCATCTCTGCTTAATTCATTATATTACATTCTTGCTCTAGCATTATAAGGTCTAAATGAAGCATTAAGGTGGTTCATCAAGGCTTAACATTCTTATTCAAAATTATGCATATTTAGCTCTATACATTATTTCAAGTCTATAGCTTACTAGCATTTCTTTAGCTTTAAAAGTTTAATCTTCCTTTCTAACGCATAACAATAGAGTCAAACTCGACCTAATCTTAAGTACCTCTAATTATAAATCTTATCAGCATGATTTTCCCTAATCAATTATAATGTCAATATCAAGAATTGTTTTCAAGGAAATAGTAAATACATCAAGTTAAGTTTGTTCTAACTAACCAGATGATGCAACCATCGTTAACAATAGGCGGTGGAAGGGAATGAAAAAGCTAAGAGGACAATTGGTACATTCATTTGGTAAAGAACTTATCTTGCCTCGTTGTCTGGTGTGATAAAAAAGAAAGCAAAACAACTCTCCTTTACTTTCCATGCAGTTTTGAATAGGTTAGGAAACCGACAAGAATACAAATCTTCATTTTGACTCCCCTTCTCACTATACCTAATGCCCCATCTGAATCTTCTTCCAACCCGCAAACAAAGAAATCGAGACTAACATGATTGCTAATTTGTGCTCAGAGAAAATATGGTGCTTTAAATCAAAAGAAGAAAAATTGAATAATATAATGTTAAACTAGTCATACTTCACACTGGTGTTGGAAAAAGAAACAAACTAGGACCAATAAAATAAAAAATAAAAAATTAAGCTATATCCTATTTAAAAACCTCGTCAACTAGTGGTACTTGGCATAAATATCAAGTGGTATGTACCAAATGATTTTTTTGATAAGGTAAAGTCACGTGGTACCAAAAGATAAGGGTAAACATTTGCAATTTTCAGTCTTTCTGGCACATGTAACTTTGACAATAGCAGGCTATTTATTTGCTGGAAGCAGCATACGTGGTCAAATTTTGAGCACAATGTTTCCTTTGGTAACACTGAAGCCATTATTATCAGCTATGATATGATATTTTTCCCTTTAAAAGTGGGGGGAAAGGAGAAGGTTTGAAACTTGTAAACGGGTTGGGGCTTGGGTTCTACCGCCAATTTGCAAAAGGGGAGATCTTAGAAGGGACGGGGAAAAGGAAAAGGAAAAAGCTGGAACAGGGGTCAAAAGTGGTCATGGCAGGGGGGGCAAAAGGAGGGCATGCCATCGAAGGCTAATTCCTGAAAAGGGAAGCATGACAAGAAGCAACCTTTATTTGGACGAGGCCAAAAATGAGGCAACAGTAGCATGTGGAGGGCAGAGTAAATGGGGCAACAACAAGGTTATCGAGGAAGGAGCCATCGTTCGGTTGGATGGAGGGGAGGGGAGGGTACCACTAGCTACAGAAGAGCAAATGCAGCAAGGGATGGAAGAAGCAACTACAAGATCTTAAGTAAGGAAAGGACGAAACTCCTTATAGTGAAACATATTATGTAAACTTAGCCATATTTAGCACCAAAACCATATGGCCTGTAAACTTTCTTTTCTACTCTAAGTTGGGAGATTCTCTAAACAATTCATGTCTTTTTTGAAATTGCAGGTTTGTAATGCATTCACGTATCTTTTGTCCACAGACTCCTCAAAGAGTTTCCCGCAAAAAATTATGCTCAAACTGCAAAAACCTAGCTAACCATTAAATCTCATTTTCAGTTTAGGCCCCAGAAAGGCAAATCTCTGAACACCCCCTCCCCCAAACATTCTATTTGTAGACTACTCTCAAGGTTTCCAGTACATCCCATTTCATCATCCCACAAGGAAAGGGAGGGAAAGACAAAATCTCGTCAAGTGCTTAGTTCATCAAATGGAACTCATTTTCCTTTCCAAATATCCCAATTTTTTTCCACTGTTATTGAAGAAGGGGGTAAACAGAGTATCCAAAAATATGCTTGGAGGACAAATGATAAAGTGGAACAAAGAGTCTCTTCAAAAGGCCTCAGTGGAAAAGATCCAAAGATTGAACCTTTACATCAAAAAGTTTAGTCTCTGTCCCCTAACTCTTATCCATATAACTTATTTTAATCAATACTTAAACATGGTTTTCAACCTTTTGTAATAAAAAGATATGTTGCTCGGATCCTCCAATAATTTCACTGGGCGCGTGTCGGATCCTCTAAAAGTAATGCATTTGGAGGATTCGACACGGATGCAGTGGCATTTTTTGGACGAGACCAGCAACATAGCTCAAAAATATCACCAACACACAATTTTCAGACCATATCCTAGACCCTGTGTGATTACTAAATGTTACCTACTTTCATACCTAACCAAATGCTGTAAAATTATAGAGAAAATGATTTTTCATGATATAGTAACATTTTTCCTCCATAGCGAAGCAAACCCACCCCTACATCTTCAAATTACCTCTCCCTCCTCTACCACAGACAAACTAAAGCATCACCAATTAAAGACAAATGTGATAAATCGCCAATAATTCCAATTAAAGAGAAGCTCTAAGTTCCTCCTATATGAGAACACCAGCTAAACCCAGTACATCACATATTTTCATCAAACGTTCGAATAACAATCTATGTGCAACAATGAGGACTTAAAGAACTCGAAATGTGCCTCAAAAGCCAAAATAGTAATGACGCATACACGATTGATTGATTAACTGATTGATTATTCAACATACAGGCTCAATTTCCAATAATTACTAATAAACAGATAAAAAGACCTAAAAATTGAGATTCCTTACCTTCATTTCTGGTATCCACCACCAATAGCATCCATATCCTCTTCAATCTTAGCAGTCAAATAAGGCTGAGGAAAATCATTGATATCAAAAGTCTTCTTCTCCATCATCTTCTCAACATCAGTTTTATTGAGGAAAGTACGCCTAATTGGAGGACGGTTACGTCTCTGGTCACGAGAGAAGTACTTGATGTCAAATACGGTTTCAGGATCGGAAGTAGGTATGATGGCCTTAGCTTGAGCTGTGGCCGGACAGAAGAGCCTGTAATCAGTTGCCTTGGGCACAGCGGATAGATACTCTGGACTTGTTTGTGGTCCAGTGAACTCCCATGGCTTCTTCATGAAACGCTTTAGGGTTTTGATCACCGATTTTCCTGACGAAGCCATTGACGAATTTGCTGTGGTGAGTCTTGAGATCTGTTTGGTTTCTTGGAAAAAGGTTGGATTTTGATTTTTGTGATTTCAGGAGAGAAAACTGTTTTGGGCTTAACCAAGGGTCCGAACTTCAAACTTTTTTCTGTAACTGCGGGTTCGGTCAGCTTTTTAGATCATATACTCCTACCTCCATTTTTACGTAAATCTCTTTTCTTTTTTGTTCCTTCCAAAAAAAAAAATATATATATTTTTAAATTTAGAAATAATTTTACTTAAATTTATAATTCTACCATTAATGAGAAATTTAATTACACAAATACTCTGGGTCCCTTTTTGAATTATTTAGGATCACAAATTCCAAAAGCAATCATTATTTACTTAAACTCCGTGCCCAGTCAAACAAGTTCACATAAATTGAAACAGAGGGAGTATATACTATACTATAGTCTATAACTTTGTAAAAATCTAAAATCTCCTTAAAAACTGAATGATTAAATTACCCTCTACCTAAAAGTAATATTATTTCAATTTTATTTGAGATACTGCTACGTGAAATTATAAATTGGACACACTACAACATTATGTATATATAGCTATAAAATATATTATAGCTAAATATAAAAATTTATGTAGCTAAATATTTTAGCCACAAATAGTTTTTTCGTAGCATTCGTAGCAAGAAGTGGCGTAACTAAAAGTTAGCTGCAAACTTTACATGATCCATGGCTAAGGACTAATACTTATTGCAAATTTTATGTGTTCTAGCTGTGATGATAATACATTCTTGCCACGAAAAAGAAGATTATAGCAATAATTTTATTCTTTTGCCATGACAAATAAAATGTATAGCTATCTTTATTTTGTAGCTACAAAGTGTTGTATTGTAGCAAAAGATTTGATTTGTTTGTCACGTAACTTTATATTTTGTCGCTATTTCTATAGCTTAGTTTCGTAGCAATAGTACTCGTATTCAACTACGGATCAAAAATTCATAGCAATGAATTGAAGTATTAGCCACAAATATTTTCTTATTGCAGCTAAAAATTCATACTTTTAGCGATGTAATATATCTTATTATAGCAAAATATTTTCTTTATTAGCTACGAAAAGTAAAAATACGTAGCCATGTTTAGCTACAAATTCAAAAGTGCATAGCTAAAATTTCATTCTTTTTTGCCACAAAGCATAAAATTGTTGCAAAAGATTCTTCATTTGCTATGAAAATAAAAACGTATAGCCATGTTTATACTATGTGACAGTTGTATATATGTTTTGCTACTATTCAAAAATTCATCGCTACTAATTGAGAATTTTACCTCAAATACTGTTAGCCACAATAATTCATATAACGTAGATAAGAATCGTTTTTTGGCATGAAATATACCTTCAATTGTAATTATTCAATAAATGCAATGTTAAAAAAAATAATAAATGTTCAATAATATCATTCAAAACAGTGGAGTATTACGTTATTCAAACATATTAGTGCGCTTTTACAAAAGAAATAATAATTATTCATCTCCCTCTCAATCTTGATACTTCCATCCCTACTCCATAACCTGCAACAATATTTTAAAAAATATATAAGAAAATAGTACAACAAAGTATTTTCGCTGGAAAAGATAAACTTTACTTGTTAATAAGAATAATTTTTTGAAAGGATAACATAAAAAGATATTAGTAAGTAGTATAATAAGTTACTTACGATCTGATTTGCATCATTTGGCCGTCGATTTCAAGCAGCAAGCATTATTTGAAAAAACATTTCCCATCGTTTTTTCATCTCCACTAACTTATTATCAGTGTCTTTCTTGATTTTTTCAATTTTTTCATCAGCTTCCCTTTTAACTTCTTCGAGTTGTTTCTTAGCTTCCCTTTTAACTTCTTCCACACGCTCATTTGCTTCTTTTCTGGTCAATTCTACTTGTTTATAAGTTGTATCTTTGTTGGTCTACCTCCAAAATATTCACTGATATTCTTTCCGAGACCATATGCTCGAAGATATCCATATTTTTCTGCCCCACATACTTTTTCAAAGATATCATCATCATTTAAAGAAATTTCTCCTTCTTTTTGCTGCTCTTTTAATTGGTCAAATTGAACCTATAATCAATAATGCAAATTAATCATACATAAGCGCAAATGTATACTCTAAAAGGAGATAAAGATAAAATAGAACACATTGACATGACAATGACATTTTGTTGGAAAGCATCAACTTGTTTTCCTTTTTTTCTCTTGCGAGATTCCAAAAAAACTTCAACACGGGATGGAGCTTTTCCATTTTTTTTCTCCTGTGAAAATATTAATCATTTTCATTAATTGAATAAGATATGTGAATATAATTCTTATAACTTTATTCTAAAAAATTATCATGTTGTTTATACCATTTCATATCTAAGTCTTGCATAAGTTTTGGTCCCACTATATGGAGGCAAGGAACATTTCGATCTATTTATCTTGTTTTGCGTGCTTTTCTTCTGCACGAAAGTTTTAAAAAAAATTAATAATATTAGTTTCTACAACATATAATAATTTGAAAAGACCAAACAGATTAAATAAAATACCTGAAAATCATCACCGCTCCAAAGGTTGACCAAATATTTCCATTCATCTACAATGAGAAGTTTAGGCTTATTCCGTAAGCGAAGTTGATAAGTTGCTTTTGAATCAAAATACTTATTTTTCAACTTGTGCCTATAGTCTATGTAGAGGTCACTCATATGACCAAGAATTGCACCTTTTCTTCCCTTGGAGACATCAAAATTAAACTTTTCCTATAAAAAATAAAATATACCATTATAAAAGTTAGAACTATTGATTTAAAACCAAACTTGCTTAGTATCTCAGATTGTCAACCCACCAAAAATTAAAGAAAATTATAAACTTTAATAGTTTACTAGTTTTCTTACCAAGATAATGTCCCACATATGGTCGATCTTGTCTTGCTCTATTTCTTTCCAACCATTTACTTTTAATGGGCAACATGTTCGGCTTCTAACTGTTTGACCCAAAAGCAAGTAAAATCGGTTGCATTCTCGCCAACAGCTTGATGATCCTCATCAAATTGAACGATCAATTTTTGTCCTTCCTGTAAATTGATTATCGTCACGCATCGTGTAGGCCCTCTGGTTTTTCTTTTCACGACGTTAGTACCTACATTTAAAGATGACATAAATATACTTCATGTAAAAATATCGAAAGAATTGACAAAGATCAATAAAAGAAAAAAATACCTATTGAATTTGCTGATTCATGTTCTTCCACAACTGTTTCACTCACTTGTTCAGACGAGTTCTCCCTAGAACTATTTTCTCCGAGAAAAGAACTCACAAAAATATCATTTTTTCTGAGGGTATAAATATCAATTGACTTATCCTTATGCCTCTCATAACTGAGAAGCATATTCTTAGCATTTGAATCGTCACGATATTCCAATAACCCATCACAATCACTAATAACTCTATCACCTCTCAAATAAACAAATTTATCTCCCTCAAGAATATTGAAGTTGCAAAGCTTTTTCATTTCATCCAGCAGATCAAAGAAAGCTATGAAATCAATATCAATACTTGCTTTCACCAACTGCCCACTTACATATTTTCTAGAAGGAGAAAATATAAAATGGCCACCATAATGGAAGCTAAATTCCAACTCTCTTGTCATATTCATGTTTCCTAGAAAATTTATAATATAGGTTAGCTAGATGATTAAACAAACACAAAATGTTGTCTAATTGAAAATGAATTGATAAAGAATTCTATATTTTATAAAAGCTTTATTGCAATTACCCGAATAAACAACTTCTTCTCTATGTTGTGTGGTTAAATCTTCTGTAACAAATGTTTTCTTGGAACTTTTTGGAGGTTCCGTCTCATGATCATCAGTCAATCGAATATTCCGTTTCTACCCATGTCTGATTATAAATAAGTATTTGTAAGACATCAATATATTTCGTGTAATAAGTATAAAAGCAAATGGTAGTTCTTTGAGATTAAGTAGAAGCTCAAGGCCTACTTATGAAGGGAACCCCTTCACAAATGCTCTCCGTGTAGAATCAAACCACATTGGCTCCAAGTGCAGAATATTTTAGTACTTTTTTTGTGGTGCCCATTCCACAACGTAGCCTTTTTTTCAATCATTTTCAGCAATGGAACCGGTCGAACCCACAAAAAAGGTTGCTTACTATTCATTAAGTCCCAAACTATTTCCATATCACTAATTGAAGCAAGATGTACAACTATTTATAATTAAGTAGAAATTCAATATGCAATTTTATCAAACTATAATTTTTAATATTAAAAATAAACTGAATGAAACAACTAAATTAGTATAATGATCATAAGTTTTTCTTAAAATAAAGATAACCATAGCGCAAACGGCACTAGTACTCATGTAGTATTTCTCTCACATTAATAATAATATTCCCTTCCACACACACAAAAAAAAAAGGAATATTAAATTCTCAACATAAACGAAACTAGAATATTTTATTTTGTAAGACACTCAAATCTTGTAATTCATCCATAAAAACAAAAGAGTTAGTGGATAATAGTTAATCAAAGTTAAAGGAAAAGAGGCGTACCTTTGATGCAGGGGAAGAGCCGTACCTTTGCTCCCCAAATCTCGAGACTTTTAGTATTTTAGGGTTTTTGCCTCTTTTAGTTTATGTTTTGGCTCTAATAGGAAAAGAAGACTGTGATTTAGGCACAAAAAAATTAGAGGGAAATAATTTAGAGGGAACTTGTTTCTTTTGGTAACTCATATTTTATTTTTCAAATTGTGAATTCATGTTTCCCTCCTCGTAAATATCAGTCCAAAAGTAGTTAGATAAGAATATTATTAATATAAACACATTGTTATTCCATATAATCTAATTATATTTATATGTTGTATAATTTATTAATATAATTATATTTTATTAACATAACTATTCTTGAAGCGTTTGATCAGGATAAAGCTTGAGTAATACTTAGTGAAGTTTATTAAAATTTGGTAGATTAGTTAATCAATATTAATTAGAAATGATCACCCTATATATTTTAATTATATGTGAAATTTACTAGTAAGCTTTTAAGCTCCTGCGAAATTAAGCCGAATAGAATGATGAACACCTCTAATTACGCTAAAAGGTATTATTTTGATATAAAAAAAATGGTCCGAGTAAAATAACTATTCTCGGAGCATTTGTCAGGATAAATCTTGAGTGATATTTATAGAAGTTTTATTTAAATTCGATATAGGAGTTAATAAATATTAACTAGAGACGATCATATGGTGTATAACCTATCAAATTAAAGAACATTGAGTCTAGTTTCCAACGCATCAAATCGTTCGTCATTTGGATATGTATACAGAAAGTTATGACCATTTTACTGGACCTATATCATATGCACGTCCAGATGTGCGGCCGCGCATATTTGGGAGTTTCTGCCTTGTGTGTGCGGCCGGATGCGCGGCCACTTGCCCAGGTGCGCGGTCACGCACGTAAGAGCTCATTTAATACCCCAAGGCTGGGTAGAGAGGGATTAAAGTTATTTTTGAGCTAAAATCTAATATTTTTAGAGAGAAGTGGGAGTGTTCTAGAGATAGGAAGAAACTCAAATGTCTTGTTCATCAAATCTTGCTCAAGCCTTGAAATCCAACAAGAAATCTCTCAAGTTCTTCATCTAAGAGGTAATGTTTCATACCCTAGTTTTTCAATTTCGGATTTGGATAGAAGATGGTTGATTATGAGTATAATTCTTGAGTGTAAGAGTATTATTTATATATTGTTGTACAAATAAGGTTTGTGGGAAGATTTTTGAGTTCAAATGGGTAAAGATTTGGTTGAAAATCGTAGAAATCTTCAAAGACTTTAATTGAAGATTTGAGGATCGAGGTGATGTCGAAATTTGGTGAAATTTATATGGTTGGACTCGTGGTGGGATGGGCGTTCATATTTTGTAACTTTGTCGGGTTCCGAGACGTGGGGCCCACGAGCGATTTTTTAGTTAAATTTTGGATTTTATTAGAAAACAATTTGTATTTCCTTATGGAATTAATTATAATAATTGGTAATGACTGAATCGAATTAATTGTGGCTAGACTTGAGGCTTTCGGATACCAATTCTCGTGGCAAGGACATAGCGGAATAAAGAATTACACGGGTTGAGGTAAGTAACAGTTCTAAATTTGGTCATGATGGTATGAAACCCCGAATTATATATGTGTTATGTGATTGGTTTTGAGGTGACGCACATGCTAGGTAACGGGCGTATGGGCGTACATCGTAGGAATTGTAACTTGGTCAATTTCACGGATCTGTGTAGTTGAATAAATTATTGTTACCCATACATTTTTTCACGTATTGGGAAAATTGAACTACAAATCATGTTTAAACCATGTGTTGACATTGTTGGGACCCATGGAGGTCGTGTACATATTCAATTATCTGTTAAATTACTATTTTGTACTCAGTCACGATTTTTACTGTACACACCCCCGATGAGCGCAGGTACCTACTGAGTGCGAGTGCGAGTGTCGAGTGCTGAGTGATTGTGAGGAATGAGTGACTATGAGGAAAGATTGAATGGGAGGAATGAGTGACTGTTACTCTGAGATGATGCATTGATTCCATTATTGCTGCATTTCAACTGTCATTATCACTGTTTTGAAAAAACTCTAAAAGACATTATTTATATTTCAGTCAAATTTGATATGAAATTATTGTGGAGTTTTAAATGTTGAAAAAGCATGCATACCTTTTCATGTTGGAAATTACTGTATTTGGACTTAGCTATGAAGCTCGTCACTACTTTCAGTTTTTTATTTATTATTGTTACTTACTGAGTTGGTTAAATTTGAAAGCATGCCTACCTTTTCATGATGATGTCGGATTGCCTAGTATTGAGATAGGCGCCATCACGACGAGTGAGATTTCGGGTCGTGACAAATTGAGATAGTGTTTCTCCAGTTGTTTGGTTTCTTTACTAATTAATTAAAATGAATTGTTAAAAATAGTTTAAGTAGCTTCCCCGGTGAGCGCAGGTACCTACTGAGTCTGAGTGCGAGTGCGAGTGTCGAGTGCTGAGTGATTGTGAGGAATGAGTGACTGTGAGGAAAGAGTGAATGAGAGGACTGGGTGACTGTTACTCTGAGATGATGCATTGATTCCATTATTGCTGCATTTCTACTGTCATTATCACTGTTTTGAAAAAACTCTAAAAGACATTATTTATGTTTCAGTCAAGTTTGATATGAAATTACTGTGGAGTTTTAAATGTTGAACTTGGAAGCATGCCTACCTTTTCATGTTGGAAATTACTGTATTTGGACTTAGCTATGAAGCCCGTCACTACTTTCAGTTTTTTATTTATTATTGTTACTTACTGAGTTGGTTGAACTTGAAAGCATGCCTACCTTTTCATGATGATGTCGGATTGCCTAGTATTGAGATAGACGCCATCACGACGAGTGAGATTTCGGGTCGTGACAAATTGAGATAGTGTTTCTCCAGTTGTTTGGTTTCTTTACTAATTAATTAAAATGAATTGTTAAAAATAGTTTAAATTATTCTAACGTTAGCTTGCATAGCAAGTGAAATATTAGGTGTCAGCACGGTCCCGAAGTGGAAAATTTCGGGTCATGATATTATTTAATTATATTTGAAACTTACAAGTAAAATTCCGTAAAAATTGAACTAAACGATGGACATCTGTAATTACCCCAAAAGGTATTATTTCGATATACAAATCCGAGTAAAATAACCATTCTCGCAGCAATTGATTAGAATGGATTTTGAGTGATTCTTGATGAAGTTTTGTTTAAATTCGATATAAAAGTTAATTAGAGATGACCGCGTTAATTATTTAAATTATATTTGAAACTTACAAGAAAGATCATGTAAAATTAAGTTGAATCCAAGTATGAACACCTCTAAATTCTTAAATCTTAACATATATAAAGTATTGTGGGCCAAAGTGTATAATATGCAACTTTGATATATATATATATATATATATATATATATATCAAAGTTCCATCCCTTAGAGCAGGACGTACAATCCCCATTAGCATCATTCTATTTGATCTAATTGACCGTACCAAAAGATCCCTCAACCCTCCTCTCTCAAAATTAGTTTTTCTTCCAAATTTCTCTCAAAGACGAAGCCTCAACCTCATTTTTCATCTCCACTGGCATCAACCGGCAATATCACCGGCAAAGTAAGTTTATTTTTTTCTGTCTTCTGAAGTTTCTTCTTCTTTTTCGCTTAAAACCAGAATCTCTTTCTCTGTTTCTTTCTAGTTGAAGGTTCACTGTTTGAGCTGTTTAGAATGATGATTGTTGTGGTGAATATTGATTTAGTATTGAATACTGATTGTTATTGTGTTGGAGCAAAAAATAAATTTTTGTTTATTGGGTTGCTATGGCATATGCCCTGCAATGCTAAAAAAGTACACGAAAATCGACCCGATAATTCTAAGGTGATTTTAGTAGCAATTGCAATAGATTCTTTCATCCAGTGAATAATACCTTCCAGTTTTTCAGTTTTCACTATCACAAACATCTTACTTTAAGAATTAGTACTTTGGTTATGGATTGCTTTCAAATTATGTATTTGGAGAATGTTTCTTTTTTTTTTTTTTTTTCTTGTGCCCCAAAATTTATTTGCTTTAGATTTATTCTCT